CCACCTTAGGTGTATGTGTCTGGCGCCTTAGCCGCTTGAGCCACAGGCACCAAGCCTGTATTCCTTCCTTCTACTGTCGACTTTGTTTCATTCTATTATTATACTGCTAGTTGTTTTTTTCAATTAAGAGCAACTGCCCATTCCACAATTAGCTTGCCAGTCACTACCCTCAATAACTGCCTGAAACTTTTACACTTACATTTAATCCTCTAAAAAATTCCTTAATTGAGTCTTCTGTCACATCATAGGGCAGGTTCCCTAGAAAAGCAGTGTAGGGTGGCGATTTGGGAAGACGGCTCCGGTCGATATTGGGTTCCCGAGCAGCCCGTGGAGCAGTGGGAAGGATGGAACGGTCAATTGGCGGTGCCCTATACACATCATCATCGTTACTGTGCCAAGTGGTTGAAACTAGGACAGAGGAATAGAGATAAGAAATTATAGGAGGCCTGGTATTGTGGCTTACATTTATAATCCTAGCACTCTGGGAGGCCAAAGCAGGCAGGTTGCTTGAGCCCAGGAGTTTGAGACAACCAGCCTGAGCAAGAATGAGATCCCATTTCTATTAAAAACAGAAAAACTGGGCAGTGCCTGTTGCTCAGTGGGTAGGGCGCTGGACCCATATACCAAGGGTGCTGGGTTCAAACCCAAACCCAGCCAAACTGCAACAAAAAATGGCCGGATGTTGTGGCAGGCACCTGTAGTCCCAGCTACTCAGGAGGCTGAGGCAAGAGAATCACTTAAGGCCAGGAGTTGGAGGGTGCGGTGAGCTATGACACCACAGCACTCTACCAAGGGCGAAAAAGTGAGACTGTGTCTCTAAAAAATAAATATCAAAATAAAAATAGAAAAACTAGCCAGGTGTTGTGGGGGGGCACCTGTAGTCCCAGTTATTCAGGAGGCTGAGGCAAGAGGATCTCTTGATCTCAGGAGTCTGAAGTTGTTATAAGCTATTCCGACGCCAGAGCACTCAACCCCAGGGAAAGAGTGAAATAGTCTGTCTCAAAGAAAAAAAGAAGCTCGGCGCCTGTGACTTAAGTGGCTAGGGTGCCAGCCACATACATCTAAGGTGGCGGGTTCGAATCCAGCCTGGGCCCGCCAAACAACGATGGCTGCAACCAAAAAATATCCAGGCATTGTGGTGGGCGCCTGTGGTCCCAGCTACTTGGGAGGCGGAGGCAGGAGACCCACTTGAGCCCAGGAGTTGGAGGTTGCTGTGATGCCACAGCACTCTAGCCAGGGAGACAGCCTGAGGCTCTGTCTCAAAAAAAGAAAAAAAGAAAAAAAAATCAGAGGAAACCTCTCTCATCACTGCCATGGAAGGCCCATTTTTTAAAAATTAAATCATAGCTGTGTACATTAATGCAATTATGGAGTACAACGTGCTGGTTTTATATACAATTTGAAATACTTTCATCAAACTGGGTAACAGAGCCTTCACCACATTTTCTTAGTTATTGTGTTAACACATTTATCTTCTACACTTAGATTTAACACGTACCCTTGTACCTTGTAAAATGCACCGTAGGTGTGATCCCACCAATTACCCTCCCTCCACACATCCCCCCTGCCCCCTTCTTCTCTGGCTACAGCTTTCATATGAAGTGTGGGTGCTTATAAATTAGTTTTATAGTAGGGCTGAGTACATTGGGAACTTTTTCTTCCATTCTTGAGATATTCATGCTAAGAAGAGTATGTTCCAGCTCCTTCATGTAAACATGAAAGAGGTAAAGTCTACATCTATTTTTAAGGCTGCATAATGCTCCACGGTGTACATATACCATAATTTTTTTTTTTTTTTTT